ATTTTTCCATTATTTTTTTTTTTGATAATGTAAGTGTATTAATATGTTTTTGTGATTATTAATGAAGATATATTATTGAAGAGGTCTTATTACAGGAGGGTCGAATTAAACGTATCTTAACTGACGAGCGTGCATAAAAACACTTGCCTGTTGATGAATGATTAAGCGAAAGAGGTATGTGAGAACCATAGTGTTTGGCGTTCCATAGTCTCTGCCTACTCCCATGGGAGACAGGCGTGTTGATATGTATGTATGTATATTTATCACAAAATCTAGCCTTTTGATAATTAAACCTTTTAAAGCGCCTGTCAATTAGTCGTTGATGCGACTTCTCGAACTCAAGTTTCAGTTCGTACAGAAATGTTGTTCAATAATAATGACCCTATACCTTTATTTTCTATAAGAACGGATAATAATATAACTGATCATGTTCATGTTTTATACCTTTATTTAATTACTTCCAATTTTTTAATGTAAAAACAAGTAATTAATGCCTTAAACATATCGGTAATGTATATAATTGGGATGATGACAGGTGTGAAAATTAAAAATCTAATTAGTTCGTAAGTTAGGTAATGAAAAAATATTAGACACGTATTTTTTTATTTTGTAGTATAATAAAACAATACTTAGATAAAACGAATCAAAGTTTAGGAGTAGGGGCTAAAACGTCACTTCTGCGTAAAAATGTTCATAGAAGTGACGTCACGCGACATTTCAAATCAATATATCGTCGAAAGCTTTCGTTTCAGTATTGAAAAAGAGTAACCTATTTAGTTTCTTGCTCGTTCTTCTACATAGGAATCTACACCTTGAAATAAGCAAATAGCTTCACTTTTAATTTTTTTTTGTTGACGTTCAAAAGTGCCTTTCTGGAGTAATGGAAATAAATGATTTTCACTTTGATTGAATTTGATGAAAATAAAAAATACGTGACTGATGATTTAAAATAATCTACCAGACGGACATTAAAATAAAAATTAGGCATCTACCCTAATGTCTTTAAAAAAGGCTTTAGAATCATTAGAAAAACACTAGTTCACATAATATGCACTAAACTAGGTTACAACAACAACCAACCGATTTTCTCACATTATAAACTAAAACTTGAAGGCGGTTAAACTCGGGGACTAACTTGAACCTGTTTACAAAACTCTGATACTTTAACGTGAACATTTTACAAGTTAATAAAAGTGAAATTATCAGTTTGGAATATTAATTTTGTCATATCCTGAAGTAGGTCGGTGGTATATAGGACAAACTAGATAATATTATGTTTACCGTTTTCTAATGTTGTTTGTGCTTCTGCGGCAGTTTCCTCAATGAAGTTGACAATTTTTTTTTATAAGTGACAGATTAATTTAGCCATCATCACCATCTCGCCTGGTAGTAGGCGATGATGTCGACGACGATGGAGCCTGCATGAAATCAATAGATCTTATAAATGATAATAAAATATAATGCTATGCCTATGCCCGAAAGCGTACTTATCATTAGAATTGATAGTCGTCATGACCAACCTTGTGTAGTAAAGAAGCAACTATTGGTTTTGATAATCACCGTCATCGTCAACAGGAGGCTTACTCTTGAATCCAATTCCGATCGATTGACATTGGTATTGTGAAATTTCGTCCTCTTGAGTTGTAACACTAGCGCCCATTGCATCCGTATTGCGTGGATATTTAATGAACTAAATGGTATTGAGTTTAACTTCATATTAACCCCCTGAATGCTATTTTAACAGCTACTGGGTCGTATAGTTTTACATTGAATAATTATTGAGATTTTATTGGATTGAAATTGCATTGACATTGAGATTGGTTTCAAGAGTAAGCGCCCAGCCCAGACAGACAGCAACAGACAGATTACAGTCTTCTCTTGTTCTTTTTCTTATCTCTCTACGTGAGATGATTTCATTTAATCTCCACACTTAGCACTAGATTAATATTAAAACTTTTTTGAGACATACTAAATTACTTATTATGTTTTCGGCTCGTTTCAAGTCATACTAAAGGGTCATATTCATAAGCAGCATTCCGCGACACACGACGGGGCGATTGTCGCGGATTGAAACTAGTCGAGTTCTGCGTCAAACCATTATGTCAGTAAGCCAAAATAATTACCTTAGCAGCAGAGTTGGAAACCACTGTTTAGTGTTTATCAGAGAACGATACATTATATACTTACGAACTTTCGCTTTTATCTAAAAATTATTCAAGAATAAGTAGTTTTTAACACGTTAACCGTCGCGTAGGTCACCGGTGACCTACGTTAGCGGAGGATTTGCCTTCAGCAGTTTTCTGTCGGCAGTCAAAGGCAAAAATACAGGCACTAAATTGTAAGTTATTTTGTTTACAGCGTGAGTCAGCTGTACAGAACAGCTCGCTTGAGTTACACGTCCGTCCTGCATCGTTCCACGCCGTACCTTGTCGGTCTAAGTTTGGGCCTGGCTCTGAAGAAACCTGTGGAACACGGCAAGGTAAGCTGTCAACGATGTGATAAAGTTTAGAAGTTGCTGTTGCTTTTGCCTTAGTTTTTTGGAATAAGGAGAATATATTTATTCGTAGTTGAATGAATAAAACGTACCTGAATAGAAAGCAAGCGTTTGGTTTTCTGTTACAAATCCAGATAATGCAAACGTAACTTCCTAGTTACTTGCCTGACCCGAAAATACTAAACACTGTTTTTTTATGGTATAAACCGGTATACGAGCAGACGAATCACCTGATGGTATAGGAATTTGAAGATTGTTGGGGATTCAGGGATTGGGGAAAGGGATGAGGGGGGGGGGATAATTGGGCATCCGGTAATCTCACTCATACGACGAAACAAAACACATTTTTGTTTCACGTCGGTCTTCTGTGAGGCCGTGGTATCACTCCGGTCGAGCCGGCCCATTCGTGCCGAAGCATGGCTTTCCCACACTATACTGTGTGCACTAGCACATCTACAGATAAGAGGAATACTATACAAAACACATGTCAATAGCAGTAATATCAGAACCAGCTCTGAGTATATCTAATGACAATAGCTTATTCAAGGTAAAGACTTCAGAATGTTTAGGCATCACCGCACGATACAGCGATGTTATGCAAGTACATACTTACAAAGAATAATTAAATAATAATATTCAGACGAATTGAGAACCTCCTCTTTTGGGAAGTCGGTTTAAAATGCTATGTTTTCAGCCAGATTTGGAAGGTAAATGTTTTGAAACTTTATTTCATTTATAACGATAATGAAAGGAAATAAAATTCATAACACGTACATACTTAATATATAATCTTCATTACGCTGTAGATAGCTTAAAATAATGATCATTAAAACCAAGTTAAAATATATAAACGAACAATAGGTGATCTTATCCCTGGGGCAGTCTTTCAAACATAATTACTATGAATTTCTATAAATATTAATTACCTTTATTCGCTTCAACAATAGGCCCAATTAAAAACTTAGTAGACTGGCCTTTTCGATTTCTTTCTTTGTTAATTTAATATTAAGGACATTGTATATTGATATTCATTAGTTATTATATGTAGGTATGTTTGTTTAATTTAATGATGGCTGAGTGAACGACAACTAGTGCCATGGGCATTAAGTTTGATACAAAAGTTAACAATTGCACAAGGGAGAAATAGGTATGTGTGTCTAAAACTAATTATGTAACGATTTATTTGCAACAGGGGCAAAGTTTTTTTTTGTGGAGAAAAAGCATCCAATGACTTTTCCCGGGTGTTACTTCTGTGTGCACCCCTTCGGGGATAAAAGGCGTAACGGTAATGTTATGTGACTTCTCCCGCCTTGGGTTACGCGAGAGAGTGTCAGACTCTTATTGACTAAAACCATCGTTCCTACTCCTGCACTTCAAGCCGGAGTCCCGGCAACCCGTTAAGCCTTTCGCGGCTCCGTAAACAGGGGCAAGGTTGAGATGCTCTCTCTGTCGATAAGCCCATCACATCCAACGATGTCCGACATTGTGTGAATGTTAAGAAATGAAATTCTTGAGAACATAAATAATTAACGCCCCAAACAGGGCAAAATAATCGCGCTAATCACTACACACTACATAGTATAAAACAAAGTCACTATCCGCCTTCTGTCTGTCCCTATGTATGCTTAAGTACATCTTTAAAACCACGCAACCGATTTTAATGCGGTTTTTGTGATGGATAGATTAATTCTTAAGGAAGGTTTATATGTATAATACATGCATATTGCATCCGTGCGAAGCAGGGGCGGGTCGCTAGTATGAGAAAGTTTCTTTGTTTGGATGTTTGTCCGTCAATCACGCTTAAACTACAGAACGGATTATAATAAAATTTAGTATAAAGGCAGGGGGTACGGGCTAACTTATGTGATAGGATACTTTTTAACATAACAAAACATCATGCCTTTTCAATACGAAAGGGGTAGGCAGAGGTGCACATTATGGCACTTAATGCCACTGTACAATGTAACACCCACTTTTCACTATTTATGTTATGAGTTCCATGTAATAGGGGATGAGCCTATTGCCATATATCGGACACAATTCCAGACTCCGTGCCACTACTGAGATTTTATTTAAAAACCCAGTAATATTTTGCTTGACCCGGTAATTGAACCCGATGCCCCTTGCCCGTCAGTCGCACTTGTGGCCACTCGGCCAACGAGGCAGTCATTAGGATACTTTTTATCCTGATTAAATGTGGGATAAAATAGGAATCATATTCTACGCGAACGAGGTCGCGGGTTACAGCTAGTGTTAAATAGGGCGACTACTATACGATGCTTCTTCAAAAAGTTTGACGTATGACATGACTTGCATAGTTTGATAATTAGCAGCTGCATGTCAATGCTGTATTATTAAAACTCAACTAATTTTCATATTAAATATTGTCATTAAGTACCTCTATTAGAATACAACACGTGTGGGATTAAAATGTAGCGGAAAAGCCTTCATGTATCAAAGTAACTTTATGTAACTGACGCCCGAATACTGAAAGGTTACTCAATTTTAAGTTGAAGTTAAATATCGTGCCATCTCTTTCATTTTACAAAGAATTTGTGGTGACAGCACTATACTTACACGCGACTTAATTTGACGAATAATTAATTTGACTGCCTCATTGGCCGAGTGGTCGCAAGTCTACTGTCGGGCGAGGGGTCTCAGGTTCGATTCCCGGATCGGGCGAAGTATTACTGGGTTTTAAGAAAAATCTCAGTAGGTAGTAGCTTATTGCCATATGGCAATAGGCTTACTCCCTATTTCATGGGACACATGACATAAATAGTGAAACGTGGATGTTACATTGTACAGTGGCTTAATGTGCACCTCTGCCTACTACGGGGATAAAAGGCGTGATGTAATGGTAATATTGAGTGGCGTTTGAGTATTTGGAGTTAAGCAATTCCAGTCCTAGTGTATGTTTCTATTTTTAATATTTTTGTAATAGAGAATTGCTTTTATTACTTAAGTTTTTTTTTTTTCCCAGTTCATCCTCGGTGTTGGTTGGTTGTCCAGCACAGCGCTATGGTTCCTTGTATTGTGGGCAATCGTCGATTCAGGCTCCCTACAATATCGATACAGTGCCTCATTTGCTGCTCAGTACGCTGCCCTTGCACCAATTGCTTCTGCCCTCGCTATCGCCTGGGTGATTTATGCCGTCCACAGCTCTGGTGAAGGTATGCATAACTATTAAAAGTATATAATGTCGAAACTTTCCAAAGAAATAAGTAAAGATGTATGACGAAATTATAATATCGATTATATACCAACAATGAGTCTTATGTTGTTTGGGCAGAATTTTGTATTCTTAAAGGTGCTCCCACACAGCAGTTATATAACGTCAAAGACTGACTTAATATTTGTCTTTAAACAAATTGTAACAAAAGTTCTAGTAGTAGTTGTAGTTGACATGTTATAGAGTTTTTTTTTTTAATGATTGCTCTCGCCTGGGTCAGGCGGGAGGGAGTGTCAGACTCTTACTGACTAAAAACCACCCCGTTCCTTCTCCTGCACGTCGAGCCGGAACCCCGGTTACCCGTTAGGTTCTCCGCGACATATTACCTCTATAGAGTATAGTAGAGAGGTGATAGCAGAATGTTACTACATGTTACACAATGTGGTATAACGTTAAATATATAACTGGTGTGTGAGAGCACCTTAATAGGTATTCTGTTAAAACTGAAGCTATTATTTGATTGGAAATTCGACTTCAAAGTTTTGAGTTGATTATAAGACCTGAATAATGTGGAAGTCAACATCGTTTCAGATTAACTTTTTAGAAGGTTACATAACATAACATCACGCCTTTTATCCCCGAAGGGGTAGGCAGAGGTGCACATTATACCACTGTACAATGTAACACCCATTTTTCACTATTTATGTTATGAGTCCCATGTAATAGGGCGTGAGCCTATTGCCAAATACCGGGCACAATTCCAGACTTCGTGCTACTACTGAGATTTTTTTAAAAACCCAGTAATACTTTGCCCGACCCGGAAATCGAACCCGAGACCCCTTGCCCGGCAATCGCACTTGCGACCACTCGGCCAACGAGGCAGGTTAATGAATTTAAATCTACCTTAGTTACTTTTAGAACTCTAATTAGATTTCTGATTTCTGCAAAAGCACTAAGCGTATCCGAGAATATATTTAAATAATAATAGTAGAGTATTAGTGCCTGTACTTCCAAAGATAAAATCTCATGAATTAATGTATTAAACAGCATGAGTTTGTATAAAAAAATGTTTAATTAAGCTAATGCACTAGCACTAGCATTAAAAATACTATTTTTTCTTCAGGTGTCCTGTCACGTTTCTTATGCTGCCGTCCTTTGGTGCTGATCAGCCGTTTGTCCTACGCCCTCTACCTGACCCAGTTCATCGTGTTTATAACCAGCATTGGTACCGTCAAGACTTCCAGAGAATTTAGTCTTATGTCCTTGGTAAGAACAGCTATCCTTTGTATTACGTACTGAAAGAACTAAATAAAAAAAAAAACTTATTAACAATTTCCCGTCGTCATGGTGGCCCGCTGGTGTAAGAAGCCCTCTTCTCATGCATGAGAATGCGGGTTCGGCAAATCTACCAACGGCAAGTACCAATGTGACTTTTACCGAGTTATATGTACTTCCTAAGACTATATAGATACCACTGACAAACCATGAAGGAAAACAGCGTTAGGAAACGGCGTCTAAAAGCCAGGGTGGTTTCGCTGAGGGAACGAGATCTCGCTAGACGACTTGTATAGCTCTATTTCTTTCCCTCAAGTCCCAAGTTCCTTTAGGACGTCATAATAACCTCGCTGGGCTTATAATTTGTAATTATAAGCATTGAGCAAGCGTAGTGATTAATGCTCAAACCTTCTCCGTGCGAGAAGAGGCTTTTGGTCTGCAGTGGCCACTTGCAGGCTGTTGATGATGATGAACCTGATGATTATTTAAGACCCTAATGTTACCTATGTTAACAATTAATTAAATGAATTTGAATTTGAACCTTTTCCCATATCATATAACAAACTTGGGTAATTGCTAAATTAGTGCTTACAACTACTTTGTATTTATTGTAAAGGAAATAAAGAATGTATATTATTTTTCCAGATCGATGTCCAAGAAATATCTGCGATACTTCTGTCATCGACCATTCTAACCCTAACATTCGTTATCCCAATGCAGAATCTCCACAAAATTTTCACGTTCTCGTTCAAATTTGCTAGTGCAAACGAAGCCAAAGAATCAGAAGATGCTGAGCAAGAGAAAGAAGAAAAACAAGAAGAGAAAGAAGAACCAGAAGTGATTGACGTACCACCAGTGAGAAGTAGACAGCATTTGATAGCACACAGAGAAGTGTTAGAAGAAATTCCTGAGACAGAGATAGAGTATGAAGCACAAAGGGATAACGAAGGTTTAGGAGAAATTTTGGAAGAAGAAGAGGAAGAAGTTGGCGAAGAATCTGTCGGAAATATAGATGATGATGAACTGGAAATCATAGAAGAAGAAGGTGGGGAAGACGAAGAAGATGAATCATGGTTGGAAAGAGAACATTATGTAAGAAGGAGATCTGAACCTAGAGAAGATGACCAAGATCTTGACGAATGGGAATGGACTGCGAATGGTAATCGTAACGGAGCTCAATATTATCGATACTCAAGGTAGCGTTGTTTATAATGTAAAATTAAATCTTTTTGAGTTTTATTTTCTTGTTTAATTTTTTGACCCAAAGTCAATAGAGACAATTTTAGTGTCCCTGTGTTATTTCTGAAAATACTACTAAGTCCAATACTTTCCCTGACCTAGGTAACCTAGGTAAATAATATTCAAGACCACTCTATCAAAACTAAGCAATCTTCTTCAGCTTGAAAATATATAGTTATTAACACTTTTATACTATTCTTTATGTGCACTAAGAACCTTAAAAATAAATAATAAAAATTCTATCTCCGTTACGATAAGGATCAAAATTGAAGTGGAATGTCAAGATTTAGTACGATATAAGGCCTAAATCCACGGAATGTAATTAATTAGAGACTTGACCTTCTCACTAACAAGCGCACATTATATTTATTTTAGTAACGACTTTTGCCCATAGCCAAGTACAAGGCAATATTTATTTTGCTAATCAATGAAATATGAAGTTAGCCTCAAAATATTTTTTTTCGCATTTTGCAGTATTGTTGTTGTGTTTATCCGTGTCGATTTTACTAGTGTGTAATGCAGTACAGTTGTAAAAGTTTCTCAATGCAACTGATACTCTATGAAATAGATAAACCTCAGCCATATATGATAGACATCATTTAAACATGTAATACAGAATATAGAGGTATTGTAATTTAAATCAAACGAGTGAAGTGTTTAACAAAACTAATTAACTTCAAAATTAGTCCTTAATCAAAATATCTTTTTTTATACAGTGATATAATTTGCATAATGGCACAAAATATATTTTTGGTTAGGTTTTTCAACAAGTTAGAAAGATTTGTAAGGACTAAAGTGCTTTTTGGAGTCGTCTTGATGTAAAGGTTTGACTATATATCTACTTACTATTCAATTTGAAGTTAAAGTTGAATAGTTGAAAAAAAACATGAATACAATATAGGGTCTAATGATTTGGATAAAAAGTGTGATGAGTGACATTAAGTGTGCTTCAATTAAAATAATTTTTTTAGCTAACCATCAGTGACAACATATTTATAAAATATTTTTTTTTAATTTGGATGCGGTCTTGACATTAGATTCTTAGAATAAATAAATAAATGGTGTTGTTTGAGTGTACTAATTTTACACGAATAACTAAAATAAGAATGGATTGACTGATACCAAAAATCTAAATTAGCTACTGTGACTGTTTCTAGCCGACCCTAGGCTGGATGAAATTTGAGTTTTTCCTAAATCAAGGAGGGGTTGATATCGGCTTACCCTTTCGTGGGAAATGGGCAAGGAACTGGGCTCCTCCTCCGCCCAGCTCTGTAGAGCTCGTCCATCTACTGGTCACTCTCCCACCGATTTCACGGGATGGGTAATGAATTCCCAATAAATAACATAACTTGTTTTATTAATTCATTCATTATGTTATTTATATTATTAAAAGCAAATACAAAGGATCAAGCGGGAATTCACGGGGAAAGGATCTATTCTAAATTATTTATATTACTAGTGAAATAAGAGGGCAGCAAAGGGAAAGGGAAGGCAGTGCACTCACAGGAGCACACTCCGGACATGCAAAGGAATAATACCAACAACTGATGGTCTTGAGTATGTACCTCCTCGACCCATTCCCCATTTCTAAACGAGTGTCTCGCTCACCATAATATATGTCGTCGAAGAGTTTAGATATAGCATGGCCATTACGGCGTTGTTAGGTTAAGACGAGGCACTTATATATTCACCCTACCGTCCTTCACGGACTAGCCTAAGCATAGCTTATTTTAAGCAAAACCCGGGAGTGCGCATACAACAAGCTGATACAGTGGAAAGTAATATTCCGATTCAGTTAAAAGGAATAAAGACAGAGGTAGGATAAAACCCTAGCCTATAATAAAACCACAATCACATACCCGTTCACTGCTTTCACGCTGCTACTCACCAGACTTCCACACTACACACTGAATTTACTTTGTGTTGCCAAATCCTTAGGATCAGTTCTAGTCTATCTTAGACAACCTTCCGTCTCCGCAGTCCAAGAGTAAGTGTCCTCTCGTTTCCATAACATTTGTAACATCTCCTCGCCAAAGGCCCTTTCCCAGGCCCCTGCAGTCCGGGTTTTATGATACCTTTTGTGCAATATCTTAATTGTTTCTAGGGACCTTTCGCAGGTCAGTATTATTGCAACCAGATGTGGCGTTTGGTATTGTGTTGTGCGCCTAACGGCTCCACATATTCTTAAAGATCATTTAACAAGTTACAACTCAATTGCCCATTAGTTATTTCTAGACGGGCTCCCATAAAATATAAAATGAATGACTTAACACGTGGTTCATTGGAAAGTCAATACTCTAAAACATTGGGATGCCTTTTGTTTATATTTTTAAGGGTACCTGACGGACAGTCACATTCCCCCCTCTGAAAATCAGACGCGTGACGCAGTCCAGCGTATGGGCTTTCATAATAGGGCAATATCAACATTCACAGTAATTTACAAAACCATTTCCTCCTATAATCCAATAGATAATTGTGTCTAAGAAGTACCTGTTAGATATAGACTTATATTGGACACAGACGTAACTTTGCGTCTGTTATTTTATTAAAGTAGACGCAAGTCTGTTTAGATTCATCGTACGCCAATTAGTTATCATAATCACAAAATCAGTCATATTCAATTTGTACGTTTCCGATTTTCCGAACTTGTAGTTCAGAGTCTGAACATCATCTCCCACTTCATTATACAACAACCATAATATGATTTGTGGACTAGTTAATATCTTGGAGAATAATGCGAAAAATTGATAACTTATCCGCTGCATGGCTGCAGTCTATCTGTCTCGAAATGTAATAACACAACTGGGCGCTGCATGGCTGCAGTCTATCTGTCTCGAAATGTAATAACATAACTGGGCGCTACATGGCTGCAGTCTATCTGCCTCGGGATGCAATAACACAACTGAGCGGTGCATGGCTGCAGTCTATCTGTCTCGAAATGTAATAACATAACTGGGCGCTGCATGGCTGCAGTCTATCTGCCTCGGGATGTAATAACACAACTGGGCGCTGCATGGCTGCAGTCTATATGTCTCGAAATGTAATAACACAACTGGGCGCTGCATGGTTGCAGTCTATCTGTCTCGGGATGTAATAACACAACTGGGCGCTGCATGGCTGCAGTCTATCTGTCGGGATGGTATCACGTAATCAATCAGACACGTAGATTGTAATTAATTGGTTAATTATCCAAACCGTTCAAGGCTTAAGCCTTAATATTTTATTTCCATAAAACTGAAACCTAACTGTCTGCTTCATTGACACAACAATATAGTTATTATATGTATATCTATACTCAGCAATAATCCGGTATTCATTCTCTCTCTATAGGGCATGATGGATTTGATTACTTATAACTTCGACTTTCGAAACTCTCAAAAACCAGCATGTGTATACTGCAACTGCTGATTGCACTCTGTGCATAGCAACAGGATTCTTCCATAACATAATTATTACCCTACTCCATTCTCGCAAAGAATATGAAGTGTGGTGTTTGATAAGACTGGTATTGATCTGCCGTTGATAATAAATGATATTATTCACTTTGACTAGCTTCTTCCGCTGCTTCATCCGCGCCCTAACACCTTTTTCTGTTTTACCAAATAGTAGTACAATCTAATATACGCCTGTGCAAGGCCAAAAGCTAATAAGCAGCTTCTGCATTAAACAGTAATCAAAATTATTTAACTTTACATACGATTAAGTCGCGGCCGAACGTACGATTTGAAGCACCGGATTTTGATTATGTTTGTGCTTGATTCCATGTTAAAATTACACATCGATAAATTATTGCCGATTTTGGTAATGCTCATTAGAGTTTACATTACCTATATAATTTCATTTCTAAACTTTGACCACACTATGACTCTCTCCTGAGCAACGGGCGCGCACATAATTATACTTCGTGTGGGAATCGAACCCCAACAATGTATGTACAATCTGCCCTCACACTTCTACCAGGCAAATACGAAATGTGTCAATATACGAGCAGTTATTTGACACTCATTACTATTGCCAATGTTCATACACTATTGCCAATGTCACCACTATATTTTGCTCGATGTTAAGCAATAAGGTGGATACTGAGTTTGGTTTTATATTTTTTTCTCAGAGCAGCCAGAAAGAGGATGCTAACCCCATTTAGCTCATACTACTTAGCGTGACACTTGCTTATCTACAGCAACAATTATTGTTTTATTCCATTCGAAAGGTTTATGTTAAAATTGTGGTTCCCTTCATAACACTTTTCAATCTCAGTTATTTGTGTATATATGTATAGGTATATTACCCCAAATAACTAGTACGAGCCAATTTTACGTATAGCAATCTTGCCTAACAGTTACATAATTCATATGGAATATAACGCAACTGTCCACTATTATTGTAATGCAATGCTTAATATGTAATAGATGCTCGATCGCGCATAGTTATAGTTCTTGACTCGTGTTAGACTAATTTTAAGTTAAGTCCTGATTAAACTTAACGCCCCTGTTTTAGCCATCTCTGTCCATTGGTTGAGTACAGTAATCCTGTGCATGCGAATAAAATGAGTTTGTACATACCAGGATCTTCTCCCTTAGGTGACACTAGCCACGCTACCGGAGTTCTCTCTAATACACCACTGTACTCGTTACCGCTGGACGGAGACTTCTCCTATCGTATTCACCACGACTGGCATCGTAGTGTGACCGGTACACACTCACGAACAATAATAACTGAAATAGTCCGCACACAAACATATAAGAATAAAAAATCCTGTACATGTATCTTCGGATTATAAGAGGTTATAGCAAATTCAAAAGTTTAGTTTAGGTTTGATGAGTCACCTTTCTAAACTGTGGTTCACCAATGCACCACATTGAGTTCTGAGTTTACACGTTTGCTATTCTTTGTTGGTAACAAAGTACATATAAAATCATGTTGTTTTGAGCAATAGCCCTCTGTTATTCGTTATTTTGTCAGAGGATAATCTCAACTTCTGTCGTGCCCCCCTCAGACTC